GCGAAGGACGCGGAGCCGCCGAGAGGAGAAAAGGAAACAGTTGCTGCTGCTGCGCTGCAGCACGTGCTGCAGCTTAGACGGGCCCAGAAAGCAGCAGCAGCAGCAGCAGCAGCAGCAGCGCCCGCAGCAGCTGCAGAGGCAGCAGCTGAAGCGGCGGCAGCAGCAGCAGCAGCGGCGCTTTGGGAAGTGGACAAGAAGCTTGCTGCAGCAGAACTGCAGCAGCAGCTCACTGCAGCAGAAGCAGGTCTGCTGCTAGCTGCTAGGCAGGAGCTGCTGCAGCCAGCCCTAAAAATGTGGTTCGCAGCAGCAGCAGCAAAAGCAGCAACACCAGCAGCAGCAACAGCAACAGCAGCAACAGCAGCAGCTGCGTCAGCAGCGCCAGAAAAAGCGACAGCAGCAGCAGCGGCAGCAGAGGGTTTATTAATTCCTGCGAGGCTGCCCTCGCTGCAGCAGCTGCAGCAGCTGCAGACTTTTGCTGCTGTTGGATCTTCTTTGCTGCAGCGGCTGACACTTCGGGGGCAGCAGTTTGCGGTGTATGGACACCTGGCAGCACTTAAAGAGTTCAAAATGAGGGGAGAGTTGCTGCTGCTGCTGCAGCAAATCAGCAGAGAAGGCCTCGCAGCAGCAGCAGCAGCAGCACCAGCAACAGCAGCAACAGAAACGGCAACGACAGCGGAAGCAGCAGCAGCAGCAGGAGGAAGCGATGCCGTATTAGCAGCAGCGCCAGCAGCAGCAGCAGCAGCAGCAGAAGCAGCAGCAGCTGCGCTGTGCAGACTGGACCCACACTTGGTGGGGCGGCTGCTGCAGCAGCTGCAGAAAGCGGTGCAGCAGCAGCTGCAGCAAAAGAGACTCTCGTGCGACTGTCTCCTTTTAAGCAGGTGCTCGCAAGCAGCAACTGATCCTGCGCTGCTGCGGTTTGTTGCAGCAGCAGCAGCAAGAACAGCAGCAGCAGCAGCAGCAGCAGCAGCAGCCAGGCCAGCGGTGAATGCTGCCCCGGCGGACGCATGCGCGCGAGCGCCAGCAAGCCCCGCTGCAGCAGCAGCAGCAGCAGCAGAACGAGCAGCAGCAGCAGCAGCAGCAAGTTCCTTCGTGCTGTCGGTGAGCGAGGCTGCATGCGCTGGGTTGCTGCCGACGTGCTGCAGCAGCTTATTTTTGCTGCTGGTCAGTTTGTCCCGCTGCAGCTTATTTGCTGCTGCAGCAGCAAAAGGTCTTTTAAAACAAACCCTCAAATGTGTCCCCCTTTACTCCCCCCCCATGCTGCTGGGGCTCGCTCGCGTTGCTGCTGCAGCAATCAGCAGCAGCAGCAGCAGCAGCAGCAGAGGGCACGCGGCTTCAGTGCAGCGCAGCAGCCGACCCACACAGCAGCAGCAGCAGCAGCCGGCCGCCGCTGGC